CACAGCCAGGGAGTAAGGGGCTGGGGCCAGTTGGTCCTATCCAGCCCTGGGGCTGACCATGCCACACCCACTGCCAGGAGCACCAGACAGCGCAGGTGAACAAGCAGGCAGGATCTCCAGGGAGACCAGCTCAGGACCCATGCAGGCAGGGCACACTTGGCTGGGCGGATGGGATGGGGCCACAGGCGGGCGAGGAGTGGTGTCCAGGAGTGGGACAGGTAGGTGGGGCCAAGGCCAGGATCATGGGGCAGTGACAGTGCAGGCCTGGGGCAGACCTGCAATCTGCTCCCCACATGTCCCTTTGACAGGTGCTGGTTCTACAGGCAGCTGCTGTTCTTGCCTGCAGAAACAACGCCTATTGCCAAGATGTGTGGGGAGCAGATCACGACTCTGCTCCAGCCCTGTGCTGTCGCCACCCTGTGTTCCTGGCCCTGCCTGCCCACCCTGCTCCTGGACACCGCTCCCTATCCAGGAGCAGCCCCATCCCATACTCCTGACTGAGTGTGCCCTGCCTATGGGGGTCCCAGGCCAGTCTCCATGGAGACCACACTGGTCCACTTTGTCCAGTGCCCCTGGTTGGTGGGTGCAGGACAGATGAGCCAGGGTACCTGCGCAACAGGGCTGGGTCCAGTGGCAGCAGCAAAGATGCTGGCAGCAGCAGCCAGAAGGAGCTGCCACAGGGTGCTTCTGGGAAGCAGAGTCTGGCTGCTGAGCCACCCCTGCCCTGCTGGTGTGCTGCCCAGCCCTGTGTACTACAGCTCCTGGCATGCCCAAGAGCCACATTTGGGGATGCAGCTGTGTTCCACATCAGGCAGCACCTCTGCACCTGGGGGCAGGAGGACCAAATGCATGCACCATGGCTTGGGCTGCCCCCTGCACCTGGGCCAGGCAGGCCGAGGGACCTGACACAGACCTAACAAAATCACTTGGTGGGCCAGATCCATTCCACGGCCATATTTTGCCCACCCCTGTACTAGCCACAGTCCCACAAAGATTAGGCATGTATCTCATTTATCTGGATAACAAAATGACTCACTCAGATTTCTCAAAAACATCATTTCAAGGGTTGTCTGTTGATTAGACTAGAGGCGCTGTTCCCCTAACACTGTCTTGCTGAACACTAGCAATGCTGGTGGCTGAGGAGGCCAGGGTTTGCTGTATGCAGTACTTATTAAGCTTTAAAAAAATGAGTATAACTAAAGTGAGTATTCCTGTCAGCTGGCTTATCAAACTGGCTGGTAGAAGGGAATTGCACAGGGGTTTACATGTTTGAAGTGTGATAGAAGAGTATAGGTTTTACTTTTGTTATACATTGAATAACTATAGAAACCAATTAGATTCTAATGGTTATATAAGAAAACCAGTGACCAGTTACTACCCAGCTACCCATGAAACTGTACCATATTTCACCACTTGGTACGTGTACCACCTTGTTGACCTCTTATTGTTGAACCTCCCTATCTTCTTCCAGGAAGATGTCACATGCTGATCATCTTCCAAGTGAGATTTGCAAGGCCCTTAAAATTCCCTACTTATTATATTTTTGGCAGTCCAGCCAAGCATGGTCACCTTCCAGGAAGGGAAAGGCGAGGGGGGAACCTGGTTAGAAGGTGAGACTTTGGTAAACTAAGGAGAAGTAGTGCTGAAGGGGGGTGGGGGTCGGCATCTTGCTAGAAGCTGAGACTTTGTTGAGCCAAGGTCGGTGGCAACGTGTAGGAGGTGCATGGGTGTACGTGCACTGCCTGAGAGTGCTGGTGCACCCCCTGACCGGCTGCACTCCCTGCTTAGGCGATGGGTGGGGGAGGCAGGCAGGACACCCCCCTGCGAGTGCCGGCTGGGGGGGTGGGAGTGCCAGATGTAGTGCCTCCACCACTTTCTGTTCCTGGTTGGTGAGTTTTGCCATGGGGGACCCCCACCCCCGGTCAGCGAGATTGGCCATGGGGGGACACCCCCCCAGGTTGCTGACTGGTCGCTGCAGGGCAAATATCCCCCCCGACTAAGGGCACCAGTCTCCTATGGCCAAGGTTCTGCTTAAACCTTAGGAAGACAGTGTCAGGGATTCAGGGCCTCTAATCTATCCTCCAGTGTTTAAGAGCTATAACTCTGGGATTGTTTTAATCTTAAAGTACTGTCCTAGTTTGAAAAATAACTGAGTAAAAAGATAATTGAGGTTCCACGTTTGCTTTGTCTCACTGACTCCCAATTATGTTTGCATAGTTTACAGACAAATAGTATTATCTAGTCGCTTCAGTAAACCCATCGTTTGATTCTTTCCTGCCTATCTAGACTGGATCAGTCTTTACATAACAAGACTTATGCCAGAATGTCTAACTTCAGCTGAGGTATTTTTCTTAGCTACTCTGCTTCTGTAAAAGATGTTGTTAGCAGGTAGGTTTGCCCTCTTGAGTCATTCATTTACTATGCTGATAATTAACCAGATAATCAGAACAGCTGCCTTTGTCAAACGGTAGGTTTCATGAGATCTTATTTATAGGGGCTTAGCTTGACCCAGCAATTCAGAAATGGTGAATTCCAGTGAAAACTGAAGGCTAGGATTTTGGGGGCTTTTGGTGGTATCTTTTATTGGGCCAGCTTTGTAGTTGAGAGAGGTGTCAGATTAGCTTTTAGGCACAAAGTGCCTCAAGCCACTGAGTCAGTTTTTTCCAAATGTGCAAAAAGTAGAGTTTTATAGATGCTGGGAAAATATTTTACCAGTGGATTGGTTTATTTCAGAGACAACAAAAAGCAGCTCGTTTAATCCAGTCTGCATGGAGGGGATATCAGACCAGAAAGAGATTTAAGAAGCTTCCAAAAGCAGTGACTGCTCTACAGAGAAGTTTCAGGTAAAAGGCATTCAAGAAAACTAATCTAGTGCAAAGAGGGTTTCTGTTTCCAACATGCTGCATGAACAGAAGTAAAATATTTTTTCTACATAACAAAACTGTACCTATTACTGCTGTAATTCTATTTTTTTTTAAATCAATCAGTTATGAATTTTAACAGAAAGCACAACATGTGGTAGCATGGTGAGCATCCACGTTATCAAAAGCTCTGTTTAGACCTGGATTAACTCATTGGGCCAGATGACACACTCTGATTTCTAGCAAGTGTCTCTTCTTGGGCTTCCAGATACAGCAAGAAGCTTAAAAACACACTGTACATACTGTGTACTTTTGCTGTATAACAAGACTGACATTTTTTTAGGTGACAAAAAACCATGCTGATAACGACTGACCTGCTAACATGCTGCCTGTACCACTTGTTTTCATTGTTAATGGGCTAAAGTGGTCTAATAATAAACTTAGGTTCTTTGGTTGGCTGTTATTCAGCTTGGTTAGTGTGTATTATTAAGGCACACACTGGCTTGTCTGTGCTAGAGTTTTCAAGTGTATAGCATGTTCTGACATCACATCTTACATCCTACCCTAAACGAAGCCTTAAAGCAATCTTTTTTATTTGCCCTATTAATTAGGGGTAGCATGTTGATGGGACTTTTGGGGGATAGGAAGTATAAGAAATATCCCCCGCCCTTAAATCTTTGGCTGTTGTGAGATATGTAGGGAAATCAGACACATGGAGGCACCAATTGAGGCCTGCCAGCTGCTTCACAGTGCTTCATCTTCTTGCCAGGCAGCCCATTACCACATGCCTAACTCCAAGGCAAGACCACCCTCAGAAGTAGGAGAAGAAACCATAAGAGTTAATGCTGATAGGGGGCTGCATATCTTCTCATAGATATTTCTCTTTGCTTAGGTTGAGTTATAATGCCACAGAGAGCTGCTCAGGATCCTTTTGCTTAGCACTTATCTCCCATACACTCTCTTATCCAGCATGCTCTAGCCAGTTTGAGCCAATACTTGTGCACTAACCTGGCATCTCACAAACCTATATAAGACAGAAACCATAGGCCCACTTCCTCAGTCTAACTTGTAATATAGAACATGACAGGGGACGGAGGCCAGGGTATCAATGAGACCATCTCTGGTTTATTTGATTTGTTGTATAATCTATTTAGTATTTGCAGATTTTAATACATGTCATAGTAGCGTTGGAGTGATGCTGTAGCTGTGATGGTCCGGGAAATATGCAAGGGGCAAGGATGTGTGTGTGTGTGACCGCTTTTTCTAGACCAACTGCACAGTTGGGAGAGATTTAGGCAGACAAGCTTTTGAGTGCAAGGCAGTCGTCTTCAGCTGATTCAAAAGCTTCAGTGTCTAAACCTCTCCCAACCATGCAATTGGCCCAGTAAAAGCGCCCTCTCCCTCTCCCTCTCCCCCCCCACCCCCCCCTTGCCTCTTACGTTAATTCACGTAATTCATTTAAGTAATTAGGTGGGGTTTATGTACATCTGTTTAGTCAGAAGGGATTATCATTACTAACAATTATTCTTATTATGGTAGAATCGGGAGGCACTGAGCAGGGTCCTAGTTTGCAAAACATAATTCTAATATAATAAAAGCCTTACCACTTCTGTCTGTCTGTCTGTAACGCTCTGGGCTAGCTGCGTGTGCGCAGCCTGGAGCCTTAGGACAGACGGATGGACAGGCGGAGGTGGGAGCCAAGGCAGGCCGGGCCAGGCTGTGCTCCCTGCTGCGGGGCGCAGGGACTGGCCATATAGGGGTGTGACTTGCTGCTGCAGGGGGTGTAGCTTGTGACCGTGGGGGAGGGGCGTGGCGTGCGGGCAGGGGGGATGGCACATGGCTGCAGGGTGCCACAAGGGGAGTGGGTAGGGGAGCACAGGCAGTGCCTGCTGAATGCAGCACACAGCCACAGGACCGTGCGCACCCCCCTGCCCACTCCCTGTGCAGCACCCTGCAGCCACAGCCCCCACGCACCATGCCCACCCCCCATGCCAGGAGCACCAAAACATGGGTGGGCGTGGCGCGTGGCCACAAGGTGACACCTAGGGAGCAGGCATGAGGGGTGCTCCCTGCCCTGCAGCCACGTGCTGTAGCCGGCGAGCACAGCCATGTCCCAATGCCTGCTCCCCTCGGGGCTGCCTGTGGCCGCACACCCCCCCCCCCCC